CACTCACCTCAGCCTCCCAAAGGTGCGGGATTATAGGCTGAGCCACCGAGCCCGGCCCAAAGTCTTGAAATTACAGGCATGAGCCACTGCACTTGGCTGATTTCATTCTTTTTTCTTTTTTTTTTGTACAGACAAGATCTTGCTATGTTGCCCAGGCTGGTCTTGAACTCCTGGCCTCAAGCTATCCTTCCACCTCAGCCTCCCAAGTAGCTAGGACTACAGGCAAGCACCACCACACCTGACTGATTTTTTAAACCATTTTTTTACAGCGACAGATCTCGCCATGTTGCCCAGGCTGGTCTTGAACTCCTAGCCTCAAGCAATACTCCTTCCCTTGCCTCCCCAGTAGCTGAAATTACAGGCATAAGCCACCACGCTGGGCAAGATGTTTGGCTCCTTGGGGGTGAGGAGGGCACCTGGGGTCCTCGGTCCTCCGTGCGCCCTGCAGGGAAGCTTCCCCTGCCCTCAGCAGCCTCCTGTCTGACCTCCCAGGGTCCCTTGGGGCGCTCCTCCCCCAGGCAGCTAGGGCGCCGGGGCAGGGGAGGGCTCTGTCCGGAGGAGGGTTCTACCTTCTGGTGCCTGGCTCCGCGGATGTGGGCCGTGTAGGCGTCCGCCCCAGTGCAGGACACGGCGCACAGGGCACAGCACAAGCTGCCACTGGGGGGCGTTCCTGCGGTCCTGGCTGCCACCTTCTTCCTGTGCTTCTGACCCTCCAAGTGCTCCCGGTAGGTCTGGACAAGGAGAGGCCACCTGAGGGGGTGTGGATCCCGGGCACTGCCCCGTCCCCGCAGGCCAGCACTTGGCACGTCAGGACACAGCAGGAAACAGCCGCCCCATGCCCCCGCACCCCCATCCCCAGGTGCTGGTTCAAGTGTCTCTTTATCAAGCTCAGTCAACAGACTCAGAAGCTCAGACAGAAGACAGGGGTTGCTTCCCTTTTTGGAAAATCAATGGGTTTCTTTTTGTTTTTTGAGTTGGAGTCTCACTCTGTCACCCAGGCTGGAGTGAGGTGGCACCTCACAGCCACCGCAGCCACCACCTGCTGGGCTCAGGTGATCCTCCTGCCTCAGCCTTCCAAGTAGCTGGAACCACAGGCACGTGCCACCATGCCTGACTAATTTTGTGATTTACTGTAGAGACGAGGTCTCAACAGGTTGCCCAGGCTGGTCTCAAACCCGTGGGCTCAGGCAATCTTCTCGCCTCGGCTTCCCAAAGTGCTGGGATAACAGGCTTAAGCCACCCGTTCGGTCATGAGTAAGAAAGCAGCCTCTGGCTGGGTGCGGCAAGCCACACCTAACATACCAGGCCAAGCTGGGAAGATTGTTTGAGCCCTGGAGTTTGAGGCCAGCCTGGGCAACATAGCCAGACTTCAGCTCTACAAAAAATAAAAAACGTAGCTGGGCATGGTGGTGCACGCCTGTAGTCTCAGCTACTTGAGAGACTAAGGAGGGAGGATCACCTGAGCCCGGGGGGTTGAGGCTGCAGTGAGCTGACAGAGCAGACCGGACTCAAAAAAATAAATACAGGAGATTCTTCTCGTGAGCATCCCAAACATAGACTGCTGTACAAACATGCATACACACACGCTTTAGGCTCAGCAGAGGGTCCGGCTCCCTGTACCTACCTTTCTGTGGCCCTGCTAAGATGGCCCCCTGCAGAGGGACGCCACCCCCAGGCAGCTGCTGGCAGCATGTCTGTCTTACCCTCAGGGGCTGCATCTCAATGGTCAGAGTCAACAGAGAAACCACCATGGGTTCAAGACCAGGCTTCTGTGGCCACGGTGTGTGCCAGGGCTCGATCTTGTTTCTTCCACTGCAGGCCCATGGGCCATACTTTGTTTTGTTTAGAGACAGTCTTGCTCTGTCACCCAGGCTAGAGTGTAGTGGTGATCATAGCTCACATAGTCTCAACCTCCTGGCTCAGGCAATTCTCCCGCCTCGGCCTCCTGAGTAGCTGGGACTACAGGTGCGTGCCACCACGCCTGGCTAATTTTTTTGTGTGTGTGTGGCTAAAGATGGGGTCTTGCTATGTTGCCCAGGCTGGGCTCAAACTGCTGGGCTCAAGTGATCCTCCTGCCTTGGCTTCCCTAAGCACTACGATTACAGGCATGATTGCCATGCCCAGCTTTTTAATTTTTTTAAATTTGTGCAGAGACAGGGTCTTTCTGACCCTCCTGCTCGGTCCCCCCGCAGGGCCAGAAACTCCCCCCTCCTGTTTTGCACACACCCCGACTGGGTCTATGTTGCCCAGACTGGTCTCGAACTCCTGGCCTCAAGTGATCCTCCCGCCTCAGCCTCCCAAAGTGGTAAGAGGACGGGCGTGAGCCACTGAGCCCAGTCTTAAGGCGAGGCGAGTCTGGCACACACTTCTCCGTGCAAGGTTCACCAAAGACCTCTCCTTGGCAAGCAATGCCCCTGACCCCTGGGGTTCTGACCTCTGCTCTGCCCGGGCCTGACTGGGGGGCGGGGTGACTGACCTGGGACCCGGCACAGCTGATCCTGCAGAGGTCGCAGTAGTGTAGCTGGGACTCCCCGGGGGTTTCCCTGGCCTTCGGCAACTTGTGGGTAGACGGAGGCTTTGTGGTGAGGGCGTCGGCAGGCTCTGCCCGGGGGCTGCCTCCTGCACCCGCAGGCGGTGGGGAAAGCGGCCTGGGAGACAGTGGCAACGGCTGGGGGGGCCCCGGGGAGGCGGGGACTGTATCTGGGGGCGTGGCGGAGGATGACGAGGCCAGGAGGTGACCTGAGGAGCAGAGAGAAGAGTGAGACAGGAGACAGGCGTGGACCCCGCCCTGGCTGGCTGTGGGGACACCGAGCTGACCCGTGTAGGGGCCCAGGTGGGATCCCAGGGGTCTGGGGGGCAGAGGGTCACAGGGACGTGGAGGCCTTGGGCATGGCGCTGGGGGCGGGGGGCAGGTGTAATCGCGAGATGCTCACGGGCTACCCGGTCTCTGCGGCAGGGGCCTGGGCGTGGCTGTGAGCCTGTGGGCTGGGCTGCCCCTGCCACCTCTGGGCCTGAAGGACAGGCAAAGGCTCTTCAGGCCCCCCATCCCCCCTGACTCTGGGCTCAGCTGGCCAGAACGCACTGAGGTTTAAGGCCAGACGCGTGGGCTGGTCCCCACAGTGACCCACAATGGACCAACTGGTCCCCACTTCTTTCCAGGCTCTGACTCTTCCTCTGCTCCCCGGGGAGAAGGGCTGTGTGTGGCTCCAGCTCTGACACCAAGTCCCTCCCACGGCTTATCTACTGCCACCCTGGGAAAGCTGCCTTGAAAAGTAAATGGTTGGGCATGGTGGCTCATGCCTGTAATCCCAGCCCTTTGGGAGGATGAGACCGGAGGACTGCTTGAGTTCAGAAGTTCAAGACCGGCCTGGGCAACTTGGCGAGACCTTGTCTCTACCATAAATCAAAAAATTAGCTGGGCATGGTGGTGCCTGTAGTTCCAGCTACTCAGGAAGCCAAGGCAGGAGGAGGACTTGAGCCCAGGAGGTCAAGGTTGTGGTAAGCTATGAGTGTGCCACTGCATGCCAGCCTGGGTGGCAGAGTGATACACTCAGACTCAAAAAAAGAAACATAAACATCAGCCTTATTTCTGGTTCTCACGCTGTCATGTTCATGGACCTCGCCCCAGCTAAGACCAGGGCCCATCTGAGAAGACAGCCCTGGTCACATGACTCCCTCCTGGCTCACCTGCAAATCTAGAGTGTTTAAGACTTAACTTTTATGTATTTATTTTTCAGAGACAGGGTCTTGATTTGTTGCCCAGGCTGGAGTGCAGTGGTGTGATCACAGCTCACTGCAGCCTCAACCTCCAAGGCCCAAGCGATCCTCCTGTTTCAGCCTCCTGAGTAGCTGGGAGTATAGGCACCACCATGCCTGGTTTTTTTTTTTTTTTTTTTGGTGGTAGAAACAGGGTCTCGTGGCCGGGTGCGATGGCTCAGAATGTAATCTCAGCACTTTGGGAGGCCAAGGCAAGAGAACTGCCTGAGCCCGGGGGTTCAAGACCAGACTGGGCAACCTGGTGAGACCTCGTCTCTACAATAAATCACAAAAAAACCATCCGGGCATGGTAGCATGCATCCATAGTTCCAGCGACTTGAAAAGCTGAAGCACAAGGATTGCCTGAGCCCAGTGTGTTGAGGCTGCGGTGGCCATGAGTGTGCCACTGCATTCCAGCCTAGACAAAAAGAATGAGAATCCAACTCAAAAAAAAAGAAAAAAAAAACAGGGTCTCGCTATGTTTGCCTGGCTGGTCTTGATCTCCTGGCCTCAAGCAATCCTCCTGCCTTGGCCTCCCAAAGGGCTAGGATTACAGACAACAAAGGAGAGCATGGTGGCCACCAGATGTGACTTAAGTCAGGTGTTCCCTGTGCTGTGGCGAATGTCTCCTTGTTCCCCCAGCCCTGCAAATGACCCACCTGGCTGGCAGAGGGCATCCCCAGCCATCATGGGCTCAGGCTGGCAGGTGGCAGGCTGCGGGCACTGCTCATCCTCATAGCTCGGGGAGGCCGTGGACCACCAGTGGTTGCCACTGTCCTGCATGAGGGTTTCCATAGGAGACAGAGCAGAAGGGGTTGGCTCAGGGCGGGCCAGATACAGCCTCATTCCCTCAGTGCTCACCCCTGCACGCCAGTCTGGGACTGAGCCCTGGCTTGGACAGGGGACAGGCATGGGACATGGCAGCCAGGTGGCTCTGGGGAGCGGACGCTGATTTCCGAGAGTCCAACTGTGGTTTGCAAAAGGACTCCAGCAGAGGGGGAGTGGGGGGTAGGGGTTGCAGGGTGAGGGATGGAGAGGGTGAGGTCCGGTGGGGGACGGGATGGGACGCAGGCTGGCAGGGAGGGGCTGGATGTGGTCCACGGAGACACCTTTGCAACACCAAGTGGAAGGCCGAGGCTGGATGTGCAGCCCTGGGCTCTGCAGCTGGGAAGTGGGGGGCATTAGCACCGGTGTGGCTGACACCCACAAGCGTCTTCTCGGGCAGAGACAGGGGTGGAGGGAACGGAGGCGCCCTGGTCTGTCTGAGGCCCGTGGCTGAGACCAGCCGCTCCGACCACAGAAGGGGCCCCCAGCCCATGCGACCTTCCTCCTCAGAGGCACCCCTCAAGCTGGGTAACAGGCAGGCGACAAATCTCTACACAGCATCACTGTCCCAAACGCTCCCCCGGGATCCCCCAAATATGGCGGTCCCCAAGAGCTGAGAATTCTCCCTTTATTGCATTTACTTATGTATCTTTTTAAAGATGAGGGTCTCACCATGTGGCCCAGGCTGGTCTCGAACTCCTGGGTCCAAGCGATCCTCCCACCTCGGCCTCCCAAAGCGCCAGGATGACAAACATGAGGAACCGCACCCGGCCAAATTCTCCCTTTAGGAAGCGACTCTGATCTCACTGATCTCTCCCCACACCTCAAGTACCCAATGTCAGCAGAAAACGCCAGAAGGAAAGATCACGGGAAAGGGGCCCGTGAGAAAGTGCTCAGACGGGGAACCCAAGCCCTCACCCGTCCAACACTACCCACGCTTTCCGGCAACTCTGGACAAAGTAAAGATGGCTGGGTACCTGGCAGACAGCTGCCGTGGTGGTGGCAGGGACAGACTCCTGGTGCCAACGGCTGTAGGTGCGGTCCTGGCTGGAGAGGGGCTGGTGATCACCGTACCCCGCTGGGGTGGCTGGGGGAAAAGCTGAACTCATGGCAAAGCCCACGCCAGGAGGGGGCTGCATGATGTAGCTGGCCCCTGCAGTGGGCCGGGGAAGGGCCGTCAGATGCACACTGGAACCACAAACACACATAAAAACCCGATGGATTACAGCAGTTCTTTTTTTTTCTTCCTTAGCAACAGGGTGTGGCTCTGTCACCCAAGCTGGAGTACATTGGCGTGATCATAGCTCACTGTAGCCTCCACCTCCTGGGCTCAAGCGATCCTTCTGCCTCGGCCTCCAGAGTAGCTGGAACTTACGGGCACAAGCCACCATGCCTAGTTAGTTAGAATTTTTTGCAGAGACGGGATCTTGCTGTGTTACCCAGGCTGGCCTTGAACTCCTGGCCTCAAGCAATCCTCCTGCCTCAGCCTCTCAAACCACTGAGATTACAGGCATGAGTGAGTCATCACACCGAGTCTATGGATTATTATTGGTTCTTTTTGAGTCAGTTTCGCTCTGTCACCCAGGCTGGAGTGCAGTGCCACACTCAGTCACCACAGCCTCGACCAGCTGGGCTCAGGCGATCCTTCCGCCTCAGCCTTCCAAGTAGCTGGAACCACAGATGTGCACCACCATGCCCAGCTAATGTTTGGATGTACTGCAGAGATGAGGTCTTGCCAAGCTGCCCGGGCTGGTCTGGAACCCCTGGGCTCGGGTACTCCTCTCGCCTCTACCTCCCAAAGTGCTGGGAAGATAGTTGTGAGCCAGTGCCTCCGACAGACTGTTTATTGCTGTGAAATGCTCCTCAGCTGCCCAGAACACTGTGAATGCCAAACCTATCCATGTGTGCTTCTGGAACCCGCGGGGGAGGGTCACAGCCTTCGGGGAGGGTCACAGCCTTCTTGCTGCCTGTGTATCTCACCAGGAGGGTTTGCAAAGTAGGTCAGTTTTCTCGGCATCCCCCGTGCCTCGAGGCCTGGGCAGAACCTCTCCTGCAGGGCAGCAAGACCCTCCAGCTGCCTGAGATTCTGGTGCCGCTGCCTGTTCCTTCATGTCACAGAGCCGGAGATGGAGGGCAGGGCACCGCCAGTGTCCCAGAGCACACGGGGACCAGGGACGGCTGTACTGCTCACAGCCAGCTTTGAAGAATCTCAGTGTCGGGAAGACCCGCCATGTGAGTGGGTCATCGAGAGGCAGGCGAGCGGGCTGGCGTCCTGGCTATGCCATTTACTGGGTCTGTTTCCTCAGCAGTAAATTGGGTACAAGGATAGTCCCAACCTCACAACGCTGTGGCGTGAACGTGTTAATTTGTGGAAAGCGCGTCTAACCACGCCCAGGCCCCCATGGAGGGGGGGCCCCTAAGTGGGAATCCCAGGAAAGGGGGACCCTAAGGAAGGGGCCCCTGGGCAGGCATCCCCCAAGCCAGCAGTCACATGAAGGGACAGAGTTCAAGGCCAGGACTGAGGAATTCCTGACTCATCAGGCCTTCCCCGGAACCCAACTCTGGACAAAGGCCACTGGACAAGCTGGAGCACCAGAGCTGCAAGCTGACGTTTAGAAACCGCTAAGTAACCTGCAACTCAATTTTTTAAAAAAAATCTTTATTTATTTATACTAGGGGTCTCACTCTGTTGCCCAGTCTGGAATGCGGTGGCATGATCATGGCTCGCTCCAGTCTGGACCTCCTGGGCTCTGGCAATCTTCCTGCCTCGGCCTCCCAAGTAGTTGGGACTACAGGTGCCACCACACTCAGTTATTTTATTTTTTGTGGAGACGAGGTCTTGCTATAGTTAGTACCCAGGCTGGTCTCAAACTCCTAGACTCAATCGATCCTCCCACTTTGGCCTCCCAAAGTGTGGGATGACAGGCGTGAGCTACTGCACCCGGCTGCGGTTCTATATATGTATTTTTAATGGCTTTAAATAATTCTGAGGTAGCCATATGATCTTCCTTTGTCATTTCTATTTTGCCTGAAACATACCAACTGGCTTGATCGAGATGTAATTCGCCCATTTAAGGTGCACGACTTGGAGGCTTCAGTAGATCCATTCATGCAGCCACCACGCAACTCGCCCGAGAGCACGTTCCTCACCCCAACAGAAGCCCTGAGGGGACTGCAGGGTGGTGCGGCCCTGGGGACCAAGCCCAGCAGCCCTGCTCCTGCTAAGGGGACAGCAGAAGCTCAAGCAGGTGTGTTCACACTCGTGTTCACAGGCGCATCATTCACGTAGCCGCAAGGTGAGCACGGCTCACCGTCCGCCAAGGGTGACGGGTCCACATGGTGTGGCCTGTCTACACGTGCAACACAACTCAGCCACAAAGAGGAAGGCCGCTCTGACACAGGCCAGTGTGGACAGACCTGGAGGACATCACACTCCACGAGATCCAGACATGGGAGGACACGCCCTGTGCGACCCCACTCCTAGGAGGTCCCTGAAGTCAGGTCCGGAGAGACAGGACGTGGGATGGTGGGTATTTGGCACAGGAAGAGGATGGAGGTGAGTGGGTTTGTTTTGTTTTTTTGAGCCCGAGTCTCACTCTGTCACCCAGGCTGGAGTGCGGTGGCACACTCACGGCCACCACAGCCTTGACCAGCTGGGCCCAGGCGAGCCTTCTGCCTCAGCCTTCCAAGGAGCTGGAACTACAGGCACTCGCCACCACACCCAGCTAATTTTTTGATTTATTGTAGAGATGAGGTCTCGCCAAGTTGCCTGGGCTGGTCTTGAACCCATGGGCTCAGGCGATCCTCTCACCTCAGTCTCCCAAAATGTTAGGATGACAGACGTGAGCCACTACACCTGGCCAAGGGGGTGAGTGTTTTATGGAACAAAGCTTCAGTCTGGGGAGAGGTTCTGGAGATGGTGGTGGTGGCCATTGCACAACACTGTAAATGTGCTTAATGCCACCTAGCTGCACCCTTAAAATGGTTAAAATGAGAAATTTATGTTATCTATATTTTACTACAATGAAAAGAAACTCCGGCCCACTAGCAGTCACTCCTGTCTCCACCCATCTGGTGTGCCTTTTAATAATAATAGACATTTCTGACTATCCTAGGAAAGTAAACTTTTAGAACCATAAAAACGGGCCAGGTGCAATGGTTCCTCTATAATCCTAGCACATTAGGCTGAGGCAGGAGGATCACTTGAGCCCAGGAGTTTGAGACCAGTCTGGGCAACACAGCAAGACCATATCTCCACAAGAAATTAAAAATGAGCCAGGCATGGTGGTGCACGCCTATAGTCCCAGCTACTTGGGAGGCTGAGGCAGGAGGATCGAGTTCAGGAGGTTGAGACCACAGTGAGCCATGATCGCACCACTGCATTGCAGCCTGGGTGACAGAGTGAGAGACTGACTCAAAAAAATAATAACAAAAAAACCCCACAAAACATAAAAATGAAGCTTGCAGGGCATGGGGGCTCACGCCTATAATCCCAGCATTTTGGGAGGCGGAGGCAAGAGGAATGTCTGAGTCCAGGGATTCAAGACCAGCTTGGGCAACTTGGCAAGACCTCATCTCTACAATACATTTTTTAAAAAAATTTGCCAGGCGTGGTGGAGTACAGCGGTGGTCCCAGCTACTTGGAAGGTTGAGGCAGAAAGATAACCTGAGTCCAGCAGGTCAAGGCTGCAGTGGCTGTGAGCTGTGCCCTGTACTCTAGCCTAGGTGACAGAGTAAAACTCTAACAACAACAACAAAATTAATTTTTCAGTGTTTTATGCTTACATTGCATTTCTGATGGAAACGCATTTAAGTTTGCACACTTTCAGTACACTGGTATCTTGTGGCTGAATCCTTTAGAAGGCCAGGTCCTTCTCCTGGGTCCCAGCAGACAAGGGGGGGTCTCATGCCCTGAGGCATTCACGTGGCATCTGGAATGGGACTCCTTGTGGCCCACCGGGGTTGGGGGGATCAGACAGGCAGTCTCCTTTCTCCCTGTGTCTCTGCCTAGGCCTCAGAGGTGTAGCCCTGACTGGAGAAGCGCTCTGGTCTGTTTGGGCGGCCGGGACAAAGCACAGTGACCGGCCGGCTTCACCAATGGGGATTTCGTCTTATGGTCCTAGGGGCTGGACAGCTGAGGACGAAAGTGACCCAGGGTTGGCCCCTCTGCGGTCTCTCCTTGGCATGTCGACAGCTGGATCCTTCACGTGTGTCTTTGTCCTTCTTAAAAAACTTTTTGGGGGGTACAGACTGAGTCTCACTATGTTGCCCAAGCTGGTCTTGAACTCCCAGCCTCAAGCCGTCCTCCCATGTCAGCCTCCCAAAGTCGTGGGATTACAGGTGTGAGCCACTGTGCCCAGCCTTAATTCCCACTTCTTATGAGGACACAAGTCAGGCTAGAGAAGGGCCCAGCTCATGACCTCACTTCAACCGAAATCCCTCTTAAAGACCCTGTCTCCAAATCCAGTCACATTCGCAGGTGCTGAGGGCTGGACCTCAGTAAATGACCTTATGAAACATACTAAGGTGTCAGTTCTGCCCATGACCGCTGCTTCAGGCCATTATCACAACCAACTCCAACGACGTGAAGATCATGATTATACGAACATCATCTGTGCTGAAATGAAGGCCCATGAAATAAACTGGGAAACAGCATTACTGATGGGCTAGTGTGCTTTAATTTTACCTAAGAAATCCCAACGTCACCAGTCCATCAGACACACACAACAACACAGTTATCCCTGGGGTCCTGGGGGTGGGTTCCAGGACGCTCCACGGATTCTCAAGCCCGGGACAGGAAACGAAATGGAATTCACATGTAAGCTACACACAACCTCCAGGTATACTTCAAACCATCTCTAAGTCACTTACAACCTAGAAATGGGTGTGACATGCTGCTTGGCACATGGTAAATTCAAGCTTTGCTTTTGGGGCCTTTGTGGATTTTTTTTTCCAAAAAAATTTTTTTTGAAAGCAGGATTTATTGAGAGGACAGAGAAGTTCCCACAGTGGGAGGGGACCCGAAAGGGCTGCCCTTTTCCAAATATTAAAAAAAATGTTTTTAGTTTTTTTAAGAGACAGGGTCTGTCTCTATCACCCAGGCTGGAGTGCAGTGGCACGGTCACAGCATACTGCAGCCTGGGCTCAGGCAATCCTCCTGCCTCAGCCTCCTGAGTAGCTGGGACTAGAGGCATGAGCCACCACATCA